GACGCTATTCATATAAGCTTTGCTATTGGAGGGGCTGATCTTGGCACCATACACGTAAAGGGGCGTGCTGCTATCGGCCGCTGCTTGTAGCTGAGCGACGAAGTCGTCGGGAGCGGATTCCCTGATGGCGAGCTCCACGCGTCCGGCGTCGGGACTGTCACCGTTGCCGCACGCGACCCACGCCTTAAACTTGCGGAACGGCCCGCCCCGGAACATCCCGCCGTGTGGGATGAGCAGGAGGGCGCTGCCATCCGACGCGTGCTTGTCTTCGGGGCGGGCCCTGTCGCTGCCGACATCGTAAACGGGGAACCGAAGCCTGGCGCTGTAGAGCATTGGGACAGCGGAGGAGGGCTCCACGGAAATCCGCGTCGCTGAGGAGACTTTAAACTGCCCCACCGTCACCCCAGCGAAACGAGAAGTTATGAAAGGCGGCAGGGAAGCTGCATCCACATTGGCGAACGTCACGCGGTGGCCGAACGCGTGGCTGCTCTCCAGCCTGCCGAGGATGACATCGTCAATCTGCATAATTACTATCCCCTGGCCGGCGGTATTCACGCCAGCGATGAAGCTGCCGTAGCGGCTCTGGGCGCCGGCAAAGAGGCGGTCCTCATTCGTTTCTGTGGGGCCGGCCGTAAACGTCACATGAAACGTGACGCTCCTTGAATCCCTACGTGTTGCAAAGGGGCGTCAAATGGGGAGCGTTACACGATATTCAAGGTGCATGCGAGCGGCGATGAACGTGACGGAAGACATCTGTGCTTAACAGGCAGCGGCCAAATATGCGCGCCGGAGCTGATAGATGCGTCTATTTCGCACGGTGAGAGGCGGAGCGTAAGTACCTTACTGGTGTGAACACGCTCTTTGCATGTAGCAGCTCGCTTACGTGGCGACGGCGGGAGGGCCGACCGTCGACGTGCTGCTCTGGGACGCAGCCGTGTCCAGCCTCTGACGCTTGGCGTCCGGTGGGTCGATACTACTGCGGGAGTTGGTCGAAGGTGTAGAAAGTCAGGAGATGGGATCGGATAAGGTTCGCATAACGCATAACAAGGTGTCGCATATGTTCGCATAACGCATAACGCATAACGCAAAACATGGGACGCAGCAACGCAAAGGATGCGAACAGCGTATTTACGCACTAGAGCAACGCAAACCGACCTGCTGGTCACCAGGGTGCGACATCGCAGATTGTAGGACGATGTAGGCTCTAGGCGTTGTCGCTTGGGGTCCGGCGACCTCCATCCGGCTGCGAGCGTATGTCTGAAAACAGGTATGTCTGAAAACGGTGGAGGCACTTGGAGTAAGCAGGCTTGCAAAGAGGTAAGTGCAGGATAAGTGGGGAGGAATCGGCGCGCTAACAATTATACATCCGCGGCAGCGTGTCGTATAGATGACAGATGTCCGAGGATCGGCAGACGCGGACATTGGACGCGCACGCGCCGCGGCTGCGAGCCTGGTCCAGCTGCCAGGTCGCGTGATTGCGGTGGCCTTGAACGACTCCGAAACAGGAGTAGAGTTATACAGCGAAGACAGGCGTGGTCAGGCGATAACGCGGATTGGTGCCAATTCGCGTGATTGTGGCCGCGTCTAGCGAAACCGAAGCTCAACGTCGGACGCAGAACGTCGCCAACTCGCGCGATTGCGGTGACCTTTAACGACTCCGAAACAGGAGTAGAGTTATACAGCAAAGACAGACGTGCTTAGGTGATGATGCGGATTGCTGCCAATTCGCGTGATTGCGGCCGGGTCCAGTGAAACCGAAGCAGAAACGGAAGCCGGTAAAGACGCGGATAGCTGAGATTTCGCGGTAATAAAAGGATGTATACGCACGAGGTCGCCGCAGCGAATATGTAACGGGTGCGGTGCGGTGCGGTGTGTGTGCGGTGTGGGCGCGGTGCGGCGCGGTGCAGACTAGACGGTGCGGAGCGGTCCCGAACGAAAAATAGAAGAAAAAAACGTGCGGGCGCCGGGCAAGGAAGCCAGCGAGCCGCAACGTAAACGTAAAAAAAAGGACACATCGACGCGCCGGCGCTGGGGTCGAACCGGCGACCGCGGCTCCCACTAGACATCGGAGCTAGCATGCCCGACGAAGCGGCGCACGGCCATGCTCCGGGGCGCCTTCCGCGGGGGCAGGTGTGGTGCGGCGCGGCGCGGGGCGCCAAACCGAACGAAGGAAGAATACGAAAAAAGCGGCGACGGCGGGACGCGAACCGACGGCCGCGGCTCCCACGCGGCGACGGAGCTAGCCTAAAAGGCGCGGCTCCGAAACCGCGGACGACACGACTAAAAACGCGAAAACAGCAAGCGGCCACCCGGACGGACGGACGGACAGACAGAAAGTTGGGGTAAGGTCTCCGTCCCGACGACGGAACGACTAAACGTCGTCCGTCTAACGTCGGGACTACGACTACAAGCATCGAACTCAGGATAGGCCTCCGCTCATAACATACTAGAGCGCGCTGTTCGCGCGAGTGGGCCGTAGCTCCTGGTGGCTGCTGGCTGATGGCTGATTCCTGCNTTGCGCGGACC